TAGCTGTTTTGTATGCTAGATTTGATCTTTTTTACATGATGCAGGTACTTACAAATGGAAAATACAGGAGTGTGGAGCATAGAGCAGTGGCTCATGAGGAGAAAGATAGACTCTCAATTGTGACATTTTTTGCTCCCAGCTATGAGGTAGAGCTTGGTCCAATGCCAGAATTTGTGGATGAAAAGCACCCATGCATGTATAGAAGATACAATCATGGGGAGTACAGTAAACACTATGTAACAAACAAGTTGCAAGGGAAAAAGACACTGGACTTTGCAAAGATCCAAACAAAAAACACAAACTAGGATGCTCCCCAACTAGGTAGGAGTAGTACTATAATTAGACTGTGTGTGTGTATATAATTATGTTGGACATCATGGTCAAATCTCTCATTTCTATTTTTGTTGAAAAATAGGGAAAGAAATTAGTTGGGTGATGTAGGAGAGTGTGAATGTGGGTCACATACACAACACTCAGTGTTTCTTATTCTTAATCTGCATATGCTATGCTTTCAATGGAAAAACTAGTGACTTCTTATTTTATGTTTGGTATGTGGACATTATTCTTCCAAAACATAAAAAAACAGCAGGAATAAAGACATCACTTTTACTCTCTCTAACATTTCTTATATGGACTTTTTAATAGATATATCAAGGAAAAATAATAAATACAATAATAAAAGTGGTACTTAAAAACATAAATTTTTTATGTTTATTTGATACTATCTTTTTTATTTTATATATTTTTTTAAAAAAGGTATAAAAGTTTATTTTTTTAAGATTATTTTACTTTTATACAGTGTCTCAAATAAATGAAAAAATATTCTACCATGTCATGTCAAATAAATATAAAAGTATTTTATCTTATTGTATCAATACCAATGATGATGTGAAACATTTGGAGAATAATGACATTTTTATATTCATTTGACACAAGTAATTACAGTAAAATGGTTATAAAATTATAAATTTTTGTATTTTTTAAAAAAGGAAGACAATAAAAGATAAGAAAAAGTAGTATCAAATTAATGTACAAAAATTATATTTGTGAAAATATTTTTTTTATTTGGAGAGAAATGTTGTGGGAAAGAATCAAAGAGAAGGGGACAAAATGATTGGGTGTGTAAATGTTTTTTCTTTGTGTGCAGAGGAAAGGTTGCCCACAAGAAATTGTGATGGTTGATGATAGTGATTCTCAGCTGAAATGACATTTTGGTGCTTTAACTTCACCATTAATCAAACAGTTTTGTTCATAAAGTTATTCTCAATGCTCCTTTTCTCGTTCAAATGTCAAAAATCTTAATCCTATTCATGCATTAGTTATTCATTCCACCGTTCAAATTCCTTCTATGTAATGTCATTTAGTGTCAATAATGTCATTTAAAACAAGGAAAAAAAATAACACACCGTTATTTATTAACTGTACCAGTTTAAAGAAAGAAAGATAGTGAAAGCTAAGAATATTTGAAAGAGTATAAATGTGAAAAATTTGTAAAATTTACCTAAATAAACTTCACAATAAAAAGAGAATGAATTCACGAACTTAATTAACTTTGTTCAATTTTTAACTGATTTATTTTATATGTTTTTAAAAAATTAAATTTAACCATTTAATAAATTCGTGTATTTGTAAAAAAAAAGGAAAAAGTAATACAAATAATGTTAAGTAAATGAAAAAAAATTGTGTATATAATATTATTATTTCTTTTACTCATTACCATCTTCAAACACACAACTTATCTTACCTTACTAAATTCATATCAAAATCTGCAAAACACTTCCTTATATTAAAATTCGTAAAAGTTTGAAGGGAATTCTCAATTATAAGTAAGTAAAGAAAATAAGCAAATATTGAAACCATTCCATAAATAAAATCAATTTACAATAAATAAGATAAAATTAATTTATAATAAATAAATATATGTATATCTTGTCTCAAAAAAAAAAAAGGTAAGGTTTGGTCGACACTGTTCATGATTTGTCTGATTGTGCGTGTTTCTACCAAGTTCAGATAAACTGTTGCACAACGTGCTTATATAATTCAATATTTTCATCGTGATTTTATTCTTAAAATATACTTCATGACATCTATGTATATAAATTATTTTTTATTTAAATTTTTTAATCACACAAATCCTTTGAATATTTTGAAACTGGCAAACACTTGTATCTTATGTTTTAAAATGTATATTTTTTTTTGTTATTGATTGAAAACTATTAAAATTACAAGCATTTCTGATTTTTTTTTTCTTGCTTAGTGATTCCTATTCACAATTTGGTAGTTTTCAATAAATTTTAACAAATAATAAAGAGTTTTAGAAGAAAAAAAAGTATTAGTAACCTCTTTTAACTCTTTGAATAACATTTTTAAACAAAAGAAGAAGGAATATTGCATTTTATTCAAACCCGTTGATTAAATACTAGTAATATGCTTGCATTACGGCACTTATGTCACTAATCATCATTTCATATTTATCATTAGCATTCCTTTCAATCAAAACAACATGGGTTTTAAAACTAATAATTTATTATATTTGAGCTAGTGCTTGGAGAAGTGGATGGTAATTTGGAAACACAATCATAAGTGAATATGATTAATAATATATTTATGGGTTAAATGTTTTTAATTTTAAATTTTGATGTGAAATTAGAGTTGATGATCTTTATAACTTTGATATATTTTGGTATTTAAACTTAAAAAATAATAAAAATAGTCTTTTTAATCTAATCACGTTCAATTTATTTGACGATTCAAACACATTTAATGTTAGTATTTGAGTTGTTCACGCTATAGTACTTTTTGCTTTAATGTCAGTTGGAAAAAAAAGTTTTATACTTAAAATTTTTTAATATAATTAGATTAAAAGGATTATATTTATTATTTTTAAAGTTGGGAAACTAAATCATATAAAAAAAATTTAAAACATGAAATTTTTTTAATTTCGTTAAAAGACTAAAAAATGTTTCACCCTATATTTATCTATTATATTAATTATTTAGCTATAATATTATTAATAAATCTTTTAAAGAAGATATTCAATAACAATGAAACGTGTCTCGAACACATCAAATAATTTATATTAATTTCAATTCAAAAGATCAAAACAATAAGTTTATAAATTTTCTTTCTTAAAATGTGCTCAACTTTATTTTATTTTTATCTAGCATAAAATTTAAACTCAGTATTAAGAAAACATATTAGATTTTGACCGTAAAATTAAATTTAAAAATTATTGAAATTTGACTAAGTTATTATGACCAAGTACGAGGAAGGAGAAAACAATAGGAAGACCTATATAAGTTAGTAGATATTATTAGGCACTACAAAATAATTGAGTGGTTTTTTATTGTTATATTTACAACGTGCTTGTTCTTTCATTTCCAACACTAGTTTTGGCAGAGAGAGGAAGATGACCTATTCAATTAGAAGTGGAATTTGAATTTAAGACGTTGAAAAGGTGCATAACATTCACGTTCATAATCTAAAATTACTACTTTCTTTTTCTCTTTTCATAGCCAAGCAAATGCAACCGTTTATTTTGCTTCATTCACTACAATTTCGCAGCAAATATCATTTGACAACTTGCCTTCCTCATCAAAATATCACTTTATTTAATCATACAAAAATACGAATACAATTTCAACCACTTTCTAGGCATATTCACTGCCACAAAAAAACCAAGTGCTTCTTCTCTTACCCACCTCTTTCTGTTTTTTATTATTTGTTTAATGTAAAACAAAAGAAAATACGAAAAAAAAGGAGGTCGGTTGTTTTTTTAATTTTTTTGAAGAACTCTTTGAAAACGAATGTTCTGTTATCTAAGATTTTTAAATGATAGAAAGAATTCAGCATAACAAATTATTTGCCAAAATTTAACAACTCATACAAATGATAATATTTTTATGTTAAATTCAAATAAATTACTAAACCAACTAAAGATGAAAAAGATGCAAAAATTCAAACACAACTTCTATATTAATTCATTTCAACTTAAAATTCTACGAGTTGTCTATAACTTTTCAAGTTCTACGATCAATCAAAATGAAAAATTATATTATTTTAACTTTACTTATAGTATTTCTATGATGTTACGCCTTCCCAAAATAGGATTGTATTCCTTGAGAATTACGATTTAGAATTTCAGTCTAGAAAATTTTTTAATTTTAAAAGGTTATACCCCTAGTACCATGTTAAATATATGTACATATAATTAAGTATACACCCTAGTATCATGTTATGAAGAAAAATCATATAGCCTTTCTTATTTTAAAACTTCGAATCTGCAAATAGTACAAATACACTTATCTACTTTTATATCATTAATATCAATTAATTCTCATCTTAAAACGATAAACTTAGACTTTAAAGTGGTGGTTTAAAAGCTTACTTGGCCCAGTCGTTTCAAGCGAAAAGTTAGACCCCAACCTCTGCAAACCTATACTTGGATAAATCATGTGATATAATATAATTTATCATAGTACTATAAAGTGCAAATATATGACACACACTATCTATATTCTTTTATTAATAACATTAGTTTACATGACTCAATTTTTATCCATTTATTCGACAATTAATCGAAACTTCGACCCATTGGATTAATCAATTGTCAAAATTGTTATTTTTTAAAATATTTGATTGAGATTATCACTTTAGTTTTTATATTCTTATACTTTAAAACCATAAAAAGTATTATTAAATTGCGGATTCGCAAATAAAAAATTGGTCCGGTTTAATTGTTTCAATTGTTGAAAAAAGGATAATGCAAAATTATGAAAAAAAATATATTATTGCTGTTATTTCATACCAATTACTTATGTTTTTTAGGTAACAAACAATGATCAGTATACTTCCAGTAGTTAAAATGAATGTTCTGATATTTTACGTACTAATTTGATGAAGCTTTCAACTTCAAAACCTTTGCAATTTTCACTCAAGAAAACTATCCATTGCCACAAAAGAAAAGGGGACAGTAGTTTGAGGCATGCAAGAACAAAACATGGGAGGAGAGTAATCACATTGACCTTGAAATACTTGAGATACCCATTCACTTGATGGTTTGGAAGATGACAATCAAACTACAATTTAACTGAAACTAGAGTTACACGATTTCTATTTCCTTTTATGTGGGTTGGGAGAAATAATTAACACAGGATCAACTAAGTCATATAATATGGAACTGCAGCAATCGAAAGAAAAAGGATGAAGGTGCCAGTGAAAGTGAGCTGGACCTACTTATGGAATTCATTACAACTTCTCCAACATGGGCACACATCTACAGTAGTAATCCATACCTGGATATGGAGGCAAAATGTACAAGCACTCGCAGCTCCTCTTTCCAAGGAAATTATGGAGGAACCGATGATTTGCATGTTCAAATATGATCCTCTTGCTTTGCTGTTTGTAGCAACTGCAGTAACCACATCTTCGTTTGCAAATTCGTCAAGACCAAATCATGCCAAATACCTGAACAGATTTGCGTTATCTTTGTCTCTTTCCAAGTAGTCTCGAGAAATCAAATCTTCAATCCGCTTCTTAATTGCCTTGACATCAGGCTGTGCAAATGCAAATTAATTATTGCATATTAACTATTCATGATTTCGAGAAACAAGTATAAGCAGCGCGAATTGTGTTAGGAAAGGGGTGAAATACGAACCTTAAACATGCGACCTAACTGCTCAACACACTCCATAACTAACTGTTGGTAATTTAAAACTTTCCGACTCTTCATGATACGCACAATAGAGGCATCGATAGCATATCTTCTGTCTTTGTCAACATCCTCAATTACTTTTTTCTTCTCATCAACGGGAGGAAGAGGAATCTGCATGATGAATTACGAGTCAATGTCAGTCTCACTCAATTCAGTAAAAAAATTTAGACAAATCAAGATCACTAAACACAGACAAGATTTTTAAGATAACTGTACCTTGATCCTCCTCATTTCCTAAATAAACTTCACAATAAAAAGAGAATGAATTCACGAACTTAATTAACTTTGTTCAATTTTTAACTGATTTATTTTATATGTTTTTAAAAAATTAAATTTAACCATTTAATAAATTCGTGTATTTGTAAAAAAAAAGGAAAAAGTAATACAAATAATGTTAAGTAAATGAAAAAAAATTGTGTATATAATATTATTATTTCTTTTACTCATTACCATCTTCAAACACACAACTTATCTTACCTTACTAAATTCATATCAAAATCTGCAAAACACTTCCTTATATTAAAATTCGTAAAAGTTTGAAGGGAATTCTCAATTATAAGTAAGTAAAGAAAATAAGCAAATATTGAAACCATTCCATAAATAAAATCAATTTACAATAAATAAGATAAAATTAATTTATAATAAATAAATATATGTATATCTTGTCTCAAAAAAAAAAAAGGTAAGGTTTGGTCGACACTGTTCATGATTTGTCTGATTGTGCGTGTTTCTACCAAGTTCAGATAAACTGTTGCACAACGTGCTTATATAATTCAATATTTTCATCGTGATTTTATTCTTAAAATATACTTCATGACATCTATGTATATAAATTATTTTTTATTTAAATTTTTTAATCACACAAATCCTTTGAATATTTTGAAACTGGCAAACACTTGTATCTTATGTTTTAAAATGTATATTTTTTTTTGTTATTGATTGAAAACTATTAAAATTACAAGCATTTCTGATTTTTTTTTTCTTGCTTAGTGATTCCTATTCACAATTTGGTAGTTTTCAATAAATTTTAACAAATAATAAAGAGTTTTAGAAGAAAAAAAAGTATTAGTAACCTCTTTTAACTCTTTGAATAACATTTTTAAACAAAAGAAGAAGGAATATTGCATTTTATTCAAACCCGTTGATTAAATACTAGTAATATGCTTGCATTACGGCACTTATGTCACTAATCATCATTTCATATTTATCATTAGCATTCCTTTCAATCAAAACAACATGGGTTTTAAAACTAATAATTTATTATATTTGAGCTAGTGCTTGGAGAAGTGGATGGTAATTTGGAAACACAATCATAAGTGAATATGATTAATAATATATTTATGGGTTAAATGTTTTTAATTTTAAATTTTGATGTGAAATTAGAGTTGATGATCTTTATAACTTTGATATATTTTGGTATTTAAACTTAAAAAATAATAAAAATAGTCTTTTTAATCTAATCACGTTCAATTTATTTGACGATTCAAACACATTTAATGTTAGTATTTGAGTTGTTCACGCTATAGTACTTTTTGCTTTAATGTCAGTTGGAAAAAAAAGTTTTATACTTAAAATTTTTTAATATAATTAGATTAAAAGGATTATATTTATTATTTTTAAAGTTGGGAAACTAAATCATATAAAAAAAATTTAAAACATGAAATTTTTTTAATTTCGTTAAAAGACTAAAAAATGTTTCACCCTATATTTATCTATTATATTAATTATTTAGCTATAATATTATTAATAAATCTTTTAAAGAAGATATTCAATAACAATGAAACGTGTCTCGAACACATCAAATAATTTATATTAATTTCAATTCAAAAGATCAAAACAATAAGTTTATAAATTTTCTTTCTTAAAATGTGCTCAACTTTATTTTATTTTTATCTAGCATAAAATTTAAACTCAGTATTAAGAAAACATATTAGATTTTGACCGTAAAATTAAATTTAAAAATTATTGAAATTTGACTAAGTTATTATGACCAAGTACGAGGAAGGAGAAAACAATAGGAAGACCTATATAAGTTAGTAGATATTATTAGGCACTACAAAATAATTGAGTGGTTTTTTATTGTTATATTTACAACGTGCTTGTTCTTTCATTTCCAACACTAGTTTTGGCAGAGAGAGGAAGATGACCTATTCAATTAGAAGTGGAATTTGAATTTAAGACGTTGAAAAGGTGCATAACATTCACGTTCATAATCTAAAATTACTACTTTCTTTTTCTCTTTTCATAGCCAAGCAAATGCAACCGTTTATTTTGCTTCATTCACTACAATTTCGCAGCAAATATCATTTGACAACTTGCCTTCCTCATCAAAATATCACTTTATTTAATCATACAAAAATACGAATACAATTTCAACCACTTTCTAGGCATATTCACTGCCACAAAAAAACCAAGTGCTTCTTCTCTTACCCACCTCTTTCTGTTTTTTATTATTTGTTTAATGTAAAACAAAAGAAAATACGAAAAAAAAGGAGGTCGGTTGTTTTTTTAATTTTTTTGAAGAACTCTTTGAAAACGAATGTTCTGTTATCTAAGATTTTTAAATGATAGAAAGAATTCAGCATAACAAATTATTTGCCAAAATTTAACAACTCATACAAATGATAATATTTTTATGTTAAATTCAAATAAATTACTAAACCAACTAAAGATGAAAAAGATGCAAAAATTCAAACACAACTTCTATATTAATTAATTTCAACTTAAAATTCTACGAATTGTCTATAACTTTTCAAGTTCTACGATCAATCAAAATGAAAAATTATATTATTTTAACTTTACTTATAGTATTTCTATGATGTTACGCCTTCCCAAAATAGGATTGTATTCCTTGAGAATTACGATTTAGAATTTCAGTCTAGAAAATTTTTTAATTTTAAAAAGTTATACCACTAGTACCATGTTAAATATATGTACATATAATTAAGTATACACCCTAGTATCATGTTATGAAGAAAAATCATATAGCCTTTCTTATTTTAAAACTTCGAATCTGCAAATAGTACAAATACACTTATCTACTTTTATATCATTAATATCAATTAATTCTCATCTTAAAACGATAAACTTAGACTTTAAAGTGGTGGTTTAAAAGCTTACTTGGCCCAGTCGTTTCAAGCGAAAAGTTAGACCCCAACCTCTGCAAACCTATACTTGGATAAATCATGTGATATAATATAATTTATCATAGTACTATAAAGTGCAAATATATGACACACACTATCTATATTCTTTTATTAATAACATTAGTTTACATGACTCAATTTTTATCCATTTATTCGACAATTAATCGAAACTTCGACCCATTGGATTAATCAATTGTCAAAATTGTTATTTTTTAAAATATTTGATTGAGATTATCACTTTAGTTTTTATATTCTTATACTTTAAAACCATAAAAAGTATTATTAAATTGCGGATTCGCAAATAAAAAATTGGTCCGGTTTAATTGTTTAAATTGTTGAAAAAAGGATAATGCAAAATTATGAAAAAAAAAATATTATTGCTGTTATTTCATACCAATTACTTATGTTTTTTAGGTAACAAACAATGATCAGTATACTTCCAGTAGTTAAAATGAATGTTCTGATATTTTACGTACTAATTTGATGAAGCTTTCAACTTCAAAACCTTTGCAATTTTCACTCAAGAAAACTATCCATTGCCACAAAAGAAAAGGGGACAGTAGTTTGAGGCATGCAAGAACAAAACATGGGAGGAGAGTAATCACATTGACCTTGAAATACTTGAGATACCCATTCACTTGATGGTTTGGAAGATGACAATCAAACTACAATTTAACTGAAACTAGAGTTACACGATTTCTATTTCCTTTTATGTGGGTTGGGAGAAATAATTAACACAGGATCAACTAAGTCATATAATATGGAACTGCAGCAATCGAAAGAAAAAGGATGAAGGTGCCAGTGAAAGTGAGCTGGACCTACTTATGGAATTCATTACAACTTCTCCAACATGGGCACACATCTACAGTAGTAATCCATACCTGGATATGGAGGCAAAATGTACAAGCACTCGCAGCTCCTCTTTCCAAGGAAATTATGGAGGAACCGATGATTTGCATGTTCAAATATGATCCTCTTGCTTTGCTGTTTGTAGCAACTGCAGTAACCACATCTTCGTTTGCAAATTCGTCAAGACCAAATCATGCCAAATACCTGAACAGATTTGCGTTATCTTTGTCTCTTTCCAAGTAGTCTCGAGAAATCAAATCTTCAATCCGCTTCTTAATTGCCTTGACATCAGGCTGTGCAAATGCAAATTAATTATTGCATATTAACTATTCATGATTTCGAGAAACAAGTATAAGCAGCGCGAATTGTGTTAGGAAAGGGGTGAAATACGAACCTTAAACATGCGACCTAACTGCTCAACACACTCCATAACTAACTGTTGGTAATTTAAAACTTTCCGACTCTTCATGATACGCACAATAGAGGCATCGATAGCATATCTTCTGTCTTTGTCAACATCCTCAATTACTTTTTTCTTCTCATCAACGGGAGGAAGAGGAATCTGCATGATGAATTACGAGTCAATGTCAGTCTCACTCAATTCAGTAAAAAAATTTAGACAAATCAAGATCACTAAACACAGACAAGATTTTTAAGATAACTGTACCTTGATCCTCCTCATTTTGTCTGTAAATTTTGAATTAAATTCAAAATAATCAGTAGAAGATATTGTTTTTGTGTTTGGTTCCTTGTTAAGAATTTTGTATTTGGCACATGACAAGGAGTGGAGCAGTCTAATAACATCATCATCAGATAAATTTAACTGAGTCATTATCTCTGAATAACTCAGTCTGTCTGAGGAATTAAATAGAAGCAATGCCGAAGCCTAATGAAAATCACAAAACAAAACTTGGTAAGTACAAAGAAATCCGTACAAATATCTGTAGACATACAAAAAAGAAGCAATGACAGATACACTAGAACACATAAGGGTGCCAACAATTATAACCTGGTAAGTTGTTACAATCAGCTCCACAGTTTTTGGATCAAACTTCCCATTTATGTTGCAGGTTCCCAAGGAATAAATCCATGTAAGTTTTCTGTGCTTGGTTTTTGTTTGATAAAATTCCTTGAAAACTTCAACGCATCTGACCTAAAATATACAAGAGGTGTTTTAAACAAAAATGAACTCATCTAGTTAGCTTGAATCAAATAATTGGACAATAAATTCTGACT